GTGGGCACTGCGAGGAAACCGGCCAGCTGCCCGCGGCCGAGCGCTGCCAAGAGAAAGGGGGCTAAGGGCGTGGATGCACGCCCACCACTGCTGGTCGCGGTGGCGGGGACACATGTGTCGACCCCGGGCAGGATGCCGACCCCAGCGGGGCCCCGAGACGGGCACCTCCACTTCTCCTTCTTCCCGTCCGCCGAGGCAGCCCCCCCCCCCCCCCCACGGGAGAATCGGGCGGTGCCGTCGGCCAGGAGTCGAGTGATGGGGCTGTTGAAGCGCGCTTAGGCCCTTGTTTGTGGGGGCCACAGTCGTGCCTCAGTGGGTCGTTTTTGTGAGACGAGAATTGCCCTGAGAATTTTTTTTTTTTGGCGGCGCTGCTTTGCCACATTTTGTCTGCTGATGAGGTGTATTTTACTGTCTCTGTTTGTAGGGTCTTTGTATGGTGTGTTGTGTTTTGGTGCCGATGTAATGAAGTGGTTTGTCGGATCTGCGCGTTGCGTGTGGCTTATTGTGCCGTTGACTGGTCGTAGGATGCTTTTGTCGTTGTGTTGATATTATCCATCCTCAGTAATGTATTCATTTTTTCCTTGGTCTTTTTGGCGTCTTTCTGTTTTTCTTCGTGCGCGTGGGCGCAAGTATATGTTTGTAGCAAGGGCATATAACACAGTCAACAGTTGAGTGGCTCTTTCTTTTTCGTTATCTCTGGAGAGGGGTGTCTTGTCGTTTGTTTTTGCTGTTACAAGTTTTTTTGAATATAGAGGGCGTTTTTTTTGTGCTTGTTTGCTTGTGCCTCTGTGTTTTGTATGTATGTGTGTGAGGTATGAGACGGATTGAAGCGGGGCGCAGTACCGTTGCGGGAGATGGCCAGATTATGTCGGAAGTCGCTTGTTCGTCGGAGAGACCGACGCCTTCAAGGAGGTTGGAGTTTAGTTGCGATTCGGCTGTGGTGAAGGGTGTGACTGACGCTAGACGAGCGTGGGAAAAAGATGTCACAGCATTTCTTGTGTCTCAGTCGCACATGTCGTTGGCACGCGATCCGCTGCTTGAATTGAAGCTTGACGACAGTCAGGAGGGAGTTGAGAGAAGGGAGCGGGGCGGCGTGTCGTCGATGCCGTCGCCGCTGGCTGCTGGGAACCCGATGGAGGTGCTGCAGCAGCGGTCGTCGCGGCTTCATGATGATTTTAAGTTTGAGAAAAGGCACCTTTGCACAGGTGAAATGCCCGAGAGCAAACCACCGCCTTGCGCTTGTGCGAGCCGTGCAGCAGAGGAGGAAGAAGAGCAAGTTGTCAGTGGCCGTGGCGTTGTTTATTCCGATGCCGGCATGTTTAATCCTTATAATTTGAACGAAGGTGTGACGAGAATGGAGCGTGACTGCTCAAGCCCGTGCCTTATTCCTACCCCAGAGAGCCACACACTTGGGCCTCAAGGCGTCTCTCAGGCTACCACGGACTGTGCGCCCACTCTGGTTGTGCGGGAGTTTTCGTCATGTCAAGGAGCAAACACCGGTCCACCCCGCCCCTGTAACGCGGAGGAGCAGCAAGACGCCGTGGCCGGTGATGGCTGCACGGGAGAGGCATTACAGGAGTCTGGCGATGAGGGCTGCGGTGAGGGTGCTGTACCGCCTGGTGATTCTGCTGAGGGGGTCTTAGTTCTTTGCGAACGACATGATGTGGTGGGGCGGGGAGAGGTGGGTGGAAAGAAGCAGAACTGGAGTTTGCACCTGCCGTCAATTCAACCGAAAGGAAAAAATGGTGGCGATGTGGAAGAGGATGCTCCATTATTTCATCGTGTGCCGGCTGTGAGGCGCAAGGCTGCTGCGGGAGCAGCCTCCACGATGGATCTCTCAAGAACCCGATACACGGAGGGCATGCGAGTTGAAGGAAAGTGGGGTTGTCAATGGTTTGGCGCAGTAGTTACGGAGCAGGAAAAGAATGGCTACGTGCAAATTCGCTGGGACGCCGATGGTTCCTTATTGCATGTCAAACTGCGGGAAATTCGTCCACTGCAAGAAAAGGAGAGGAAGAATGGGACGAAGGAAAGGAATCTCGTAAGCTCGAATTCCGTCATGACGGCGACTCAGTTGGTGGAGATTATGGATAATGAGACTCCAAATAAGCTTTCGTTGAAGGAGGAGTTGGGGCCAACTCCCTGGGACACAGTGGATTTGGTAAACCCATCGTCCCTCACACTTTATCTGACACCGACGGCGCACTCACGCTTAGCAGGAAAAGTTTCTGCTCTCACTAAGCTGAAGGAGCGAGGGACTTTGGTAGTGGAGTCTCCTGCACAGTTAGAACCCAGCGCATTGGCAGCGTCCGCTGGCGAGCGGCGGCCGGAGCCGCGCATGTCTTTTTTCGTCGTTGCCGATGAGGATGTGGAGGAAGACGATGGGATTATGATCGCAGTGGCGCACGCTATGGGACTTTCTACCATTTCTTTGCGGTGGCTGGAAGAGCTTGAGATAGATGTCGCGGATGAGTGTCAACAGGTGCGCGTTCCCAAGCTGAAAGACCTTATTGGGCAAGGCAGTGATGCGCGTGTGCGATGGCGGCTGCTTCCATTGAAGGAAGAACGATTTCTCAGCAAGAAGCGGGTTTACCTCGCAGGAGACGACGCCGAGGTCGCATTTCTTCTCCAAGTCTGTGGAGCCACAGTCACGCTTCAACCACCAATGGATGGGGACTCTCCCCCGCATTATGTGTACGTGGCTCCTGGGAGGCGGGCGCGGATAACTCCTGGCATCTCGTCTGTGGCATTGCTGGAAAAATCATGGTTGCTTCACCGCATCCACGAGTTCTTCCTTGCGCTCCCCCCGCCGCGGCGGGACAGCAGTAGCACGGGCGTGGTCGGCAATTTACTTCTTGCTGGCCCGGTATCCGGTGTCAAGCGCCCCAGAGAAGAGGAGGAGGAGAGGATGGAGACGAAACCGAATTTGGCGGAAGCCGTCCCTTCATCGACGGCAGTTGCAGTTTCAGGGTCGAGTCGTGTGATGGCTTCCTCGAGTACTGAGGCGCTGCCGGTGTTGGAGGGCGAAGACTACTACTTTCGCGTGCCGCAGGTGAGCAAATACAAGATGGATGCTAGGAGAAGAAATGAAGCACCGGTGGTGGAACTGGGGCGCGTGGTGCGTATTGTTGGGGGTGGCATCGTGACAATGCGGATATACGAGGTGAAGCACCGGGTTTTGCGACAAAACCCCCGCACAGGATGCCTTGAGAACCAGACATCTGTGTACTTGGGTTTACGCGCCGCAAACGTAACGGTGGCGGACCTCATCTTCAGCATCCCTGTCTACGTTGTCGATGCCTCGCAGATGCAGCACGTATATGTGCTTGAATCCCCCCCAAGGAGTGTAGATGCATCCGCCGGCAGTGGTGTCGAGGGCCAGAAAACTCAACTGATGAAAACAGAGGACGAGGAAGTGTCAAACTGGCAGTGTATGGACGATAAAGCTTCTCTTTCTGTGTGCCCCGCCGGACTGTCGTCTGGTTCGGTGCCATTGGGCGTGCACACACGCTCTGGTAACCAGGAGAGTCGTGTGCTCAAGGAAATTATAGTGAACGGTTGGCAAATACGTCCTGGCGTGGATGTTTGGTTTCATGACCACTTTTCCTCGGCGCAGATGGCGAGCTCCTCCTCCGAAAGAAGAAGTAAGGGGCGTGTGCAGACGATTCAGTGTGTGGCGGCCGGCGTGGTATTGGTCGTGCATCGGAAAAATTCAATTGAGGACGCCGACGGGTCGAGGGTGGCCGTGATCACACCAGACATGGTGACGGCGTTGGCGTAGGTTTTGTCTGCGTCCGTCGCCTTGCGTGTTTCTTGGCTTCCGGTCCCCCAGCCAACCCCCTTTCGTCGGGGCGTAAAGGATTAGTAATGGGTGGGGCGGAGAGACGAACGCGCCCGGCGGTCTTAAGCGGAGGGGAGCCAAGGCCCAGTAAAAGAAGCGAAACAAAGAAGCGGGTGAAGGGCATACCCCAATAATAATAATAATAATAATAAAAGAAAAATTTGTCTATATCGATGCACATGAAAGAAAAAAAAACAATCCTTTTCAGCGTCGTGTCTCTGCGTTTAGTTTATTGCGCTATTTTTTTTGGTATGCTTTATATATATATATATATTTTTTTTCTGTTGCCGTATTTGTCTGTAGGTTTCCTTTTTTTGTTTTGTTTTGTTTTGTTTTTTGTATCTCCGTTTGCCGCTGCGTCTTTGTGGAAATTTGGGATGCAGCAGGCGTTCACGGACCCGCTTGTGGATCTTGCATCCGTCTCTTTCCAGCACCCGCGCGGCAAGGGCGTGGCGAGCGGGATACATGACGTCAGCCTCCGCGTGAACGGCGGTGATCGCGTTCTCGTCGTGGGGCACAACGGCAGCGGCAAGTCAACGCTTCTCTCCCTCATTGCGGGGCGGCGAAAGGCTGCGACTGGCCGCGCCACTGTGCTTGGCTCCGACGCCTTTGATAACACGCGTCTGCAGCAGCACGTGACGCTCATTGGCCAGCCGTGGCCGGCCGAGGCCTTCTTCACCACCACCGTCGACCACGTGGCCACCCCGGCGCCGCTGCCGGAACGGAGGCGACAAGTGGCGGGTGCTCTTCACCTCAACTTGGGGCGCGTCGTCAGCAGTATGAGTTCCGGCGAGAGGCGACGAGTTCAGATCCTCCACGGGCTGTTGCAGAAGAGCCGCGTCTACTTGCTTGATGAATGCAGCACCGACATCGATGTTGCCGAGCGAAAAACCGTGTTGGACCTTGTGAAGTCCGAGTGCGTTGCTGATAAAAGCTGTTGCTTGTACGCAACCCACATCTTGGATGGCGTGAGTGACTGGGCGACGCACCTCCTCTTGCTTCAGAAGGGCACGGTGGTCGATTTTAAAAGGGTATCTGACGTCAACGAGCCCTTGGAGGAGTTTGTGTGCCGCTTTCTCGCCAGGCATCATCACCACCGCTTTGGCGACACCAACACGCAGGGACACACAGACAATGAGTGCCACGGCCAAGAGAAGACGACAGAGACATTGTCTCCTCTGTATTTGGAAAAGGAGGCTGTCATCGTGTGCGACCGACTACAATATAGGGATGTATTTCACGAGCTTTCCTTCACTGTCTACGGAGGGGAGCGTGTGTTGCTTTGTGGATGCAACGGCTCCGGTAAGTCGACTCTGCTGAACATGATGGGCGGAAAGCAGTTCTTCAACAACCGCGCCGGATCGCTCCGCATTCTTGGGAAGACCGCTTACGATGACATGACGCTAAATGGGCTCGTTGCGTTCGGCGGCGACTGGTGGGCTGCCGCGCCGCCGGGGGAAATGCACGTGCATGAGATGATTCAACTCAAAACTTCACGGGCGGAGCGGTTATGCGAACTTCTTGAGGTGGACATGTCTTGGGACGTCCGCCACATTTCCGCAGGTGAGCAGAAGCGTGTGCAGCTTCTTTTTCACTTACTAGAAGACAAACCTGTCGTTCTTCTCGATGAAGCCACTTCCGATCTCGATCTCGACCAACGCCACGGCCTGCTATCATTTCTGTACTTTGAAAGCGTTAATCGGGGTGTGACTGTCGTGTACGCAACGCACATTTTCGGCGGTCTTGAGGGTTGGCCCTCGGCTGTTGTGATGCTTGACCGGACCAAGCGTGGTCTCCATGCCTTTTGGCGCGGAAAGGATTTGAAATGGGGGGAAGTTATTGATGAGCTTTTTGCTTTAAAGAGCAGGGAGAAATTCTGAAGTGAGTGAGTGAGTGTGTGTGTGTGAGAGAGAGAGAGAGAGGGCGCAGCGGTCACTGCGGGCCATAAGCTGAGGCAGTCTATATGTGTCCGCTCCCGTGTCATTTGCCGTTTATATTTTTTCCTCACATTCGGTGTGTGCGTATACGCATATAAATAGTCTATTGTAGTTGTGCGTGTGATGGAAGGTTGGCATAGCTATTAATTTTTCTTTTGCTGGAACCGGATTCCGTGAGTGGGGGTGTGAAAAATGCACGAAGAGGCAAGAAAAAAAAACTGCAATGTACTTTTGTGTCGCTGTTGTTTTGTTACTCTTCCTGTTAGCGAGAGTTTTGCTCTGCTCTTTCGCCGTCTCTTGATCCTGCGGGGTCGTGTGGCCAGTAGATCTCTCCACTGCCTGGCGTGCAGGGGATTTTTGTTTCCGTGTTCTCACGTTTTTCATTCTTCTTTTTTGCCGCGTAGGGGCACCTCTTTTCTTCCGCAGGCGGACACGACGCCGCAACCCGAACTTGCGCAGGAATTCGGTGGAAGATGTATTGAGACTTGCGCCTACATGTGTGTGTGTGCGTGTGTAAACCGGCATGTATGAACATCCCCGCAAACCGGCGCAACCCCCATCTGCTGATGCTTTGCTCCTCGCTTCCATTGCAGTTTCCGTACTGCATTGCAGTAAGGCGGGGCTCGGCCACTTTCAAGGGGCATTTTACAAAAAAAAAAGAAAAAAAGGCTTCGCTTCCTTTTTTTTTTAGTTTCTTTTCCTCCTTCTTTTTTCTTTTGCTTTGTCTTGCTTCCCTCCTCCTGGTGGGGTTGTGATGCTGCGCGGGCTAGTTGGCCCACTGTGGCGCCTACGATGAAGCCAGGGATGCGCTTGGAGCGAGGAGTGGCGGGGGATGCGTCGACGCTCCAGCGCCCCGTGAAGTCCAGTCGCGGGGGTTACCTGCGCTGCCCGTTTGTCATTGGCCCTGCCTTCGCCGCGGTTGCAGAGCGCCACGCGGCGGGAGGCGCTTTGAGTCACAAGTCGCACCGACTGCACGCCGTGCGTGGGAGCGATGGTGGCCATGCTGCCGACAGCGAGGAAGATGGTGTTTGCCGTCCGTGGAACCGAGCGGGGGTCGGGGCAAAGGCCCTCAGTGCGAAGGAGAGGCGATTGCAGCAGCAAGAGGCTGAGAATATCTACGGCTCCACTGCCGTTAATGACGCCGATGAGAAGAATGGGGATGCGTCGAAAGCCCCTGGTGCGGGTTTGTCGGTTGCCCTCTCTTCGTGGGAAAAGACGGCTCTAAAACGCGTCGTGCCGCGTGGCGTACTCAAGAAGAAACCGCATAGCAACGGCGAAACTTGTGAAGAGGCAGTAGCAGACGGAGGGGGACACCACGATGTAGAAAGACTACAGCGGCATCAGCGTGTGGCAGGGCACAAGTGTGAAGCCGACGAACGCGCTCTCAGCGGCGGCTTGGGACGGCCCCGCCGTAAGATGGAGGATGGCGGACATGCAGATGTTCTTCCGCGTGAAGCTGGGGATTCTTGCGCACCACAAAACACGGAGGGGCGGTCGCTTCCAGAGAAAAACAAGCCGCTGAATAGACTTCAACAGTTAGATGCGATGCGGAGCGCCGCACTCTTCGGGAAGAAAAAAATGATTTTGAAGCGCTGAGGCTGGTATTCGTTTGTTTAATTCACTTCCTTTTTTTTTCTTCCGATTAAGCCGTGTTTGTTCGTTTTTCCTATTTCTGCCTGTGTGTGTGTTTGGTTGTGCCTTCTTCGCCCAACCGCCCAGGCGGCGGAGGTGGCGGATGAGGCATACGTGAAGGGAGCCTGTGTCCATGTGTGTCTTACCGTGATGCGAGTGCACATGCCTCTGCTACATCGTTGCGTTGTTGTTGTTGTTTTTTTGGCTGGCACTAGATAGAGTGTGTGGGGGAAGGCCTCGGTGCTGCTGCCGCGGGGGAGGCGGAAGAGGCGGGACATCATGTTCTCGCGCATGAAGGAGGGAATTATACGACGCTTTACTTCTGCGGCTCCGGAGCGGAAAGATGCGACTTCCCGTCGTCAAATGCCTATTAAGGGGCTGCAGCCCCCTAGCTCGTCCGTAAACGGGTGCGAGAGCACGGTGGATGTCGTGACGAAGAAATCGCGGGCGCTGCCTGAAGAATCGTTGCATGACGAGACTGCCCTGCGTAAGGTGCTTGCGGAGGATCCTGTGGACCTCGATGAGCTATGTAGCATATGCAGGAGTGGCTGTCCGGCCGCATTTCGCCGTGATGTTTGGGGATACTTGACCGGAAACCTGCAACCTTTTTCCTCAAGCCGAGCCACTGTTCTCGCTCGCAAACGACAGGAGTATGTGGGGTATGTGCAGTCAAGTTACAGTTCGATAGATTGGGATGCCGCCCTGCGGGCGGGGGAGGGAGGAGGGACGGCGTGTGCCAATGCGACCTTCGCGGAAGCAAAAGAGGGTGACGACAGCCCTCCTGTCGGTGCCGGGGCTCCGAGTCATGTTCGCCAGAGACAGGCCGTGGTAGGGTCGCAGTACGGTGTCACCAGTGAATCAGAGCTGCTGATGCTTAAACAGATTCGCAAAGACGTGCCCCGCATGGCTGCCGGTGTAGCGTACCTGCAGCATCCAAGAGTCATGCTCTCCATTGAACGGATTTTGTACATTTGGGCGCTACGTCATCCCGCCTGCGGTTACGTGCAGGGAATAAATGACCTTTTAATCCCCTTCATTAGCGTCATCTTGGCAAGTCAGTTTTGCCCCTCCAAGACAGTGGCGGAGCTGCACTCGCTGACAGAGACGGACTTGAACGTGTTGTTTTCCACCGACGCCGTCAGTGAAGAGGAGTGGATGTACACCACTGAAGCCGACACCTATTGGATGGCGTCCCACCTCCTGAGTGCGGTGCAGGAAAACTACACGTACAACCAGAAGGGTATTTATAGCATGGTGCGCAAGCTGGAGGCGGTGACGCGGGCAGTAGATGCAAAGCTTCACAAGCATTTACGTGAGGAATTGCGAATTAATTTTAACCAATTCGCGTTTCGCTGGATGAACTGCCTGCTCCTTCGAGAGCTCAACGCCACTCAATCCCTGCGGCTCTGGGATACGTACCTCGCCGACGTGGAAAAGGATTGGAGCACTACTCACGTCTATGTATGCGCTGCGCTCTTGGTGTGGTGGTCTCCTGCACTCTGCAAAGAGGCGGACTACGGTGTCGTGATGAAATTTCTGCAGAACCTACCCACGGAGGAGCTTAGCACGCATGATCTCAACGCACTCATATCACAGGGAGTTATGATGCAAAAGTTGTACAATGACACCCTGCGGCACCTCGCGTAGGAGTATATATATATATATATCTATATCTTTTTGTGTATTTGTGGTGCATGTGTTGCGATCTCTTTTTCTTTTTAATGCGCTCCCCTTTCCCCCCTTATGTCTCGGGGCGGTGGTGGATGACGGCACTTTCGCTGCGGATGCCGAAACAACGCCGAGGTCATCTACAGTGAAAACACCGAAGTAGTGAGGGTGACAGGAAATGTTCTGAGAGGCGAGGACGAAATGAAGCGGGGCGAGGTGCCGCATTTTTACTTGCTTTTGGT